CCCCACCCCCCCACCCCGCAGCCCTGGGCGGGCAGGGGCGATTGCTGCAGCCCGGGCTGCGCACCCGCTGGATCGCAGCCCAGGAAAGCGAAGCCGATGCGTGGAGCCTCCGCAAACTGGACGAGAATCCATCTTCCCTTGAGCTGGGCATAGACTTTGTAAAAGATATTATGTAATGGAGACTCGGGCCGCTCGAGCCGTCTCCGGCGAAGCTGCTGGTGAATTAATTAAGGGCATTAAATGGTCTTAGGTCAATATTCCGCGGGGGGGAGTTGGGGGTGCGGAGGACTCCTGGGGACCACTGCGACTTGAGTGGAATTTTCACTGAATGCGTCTTCTATGTTTTGTCGCCCTGCTGTCTGTGCCGAGGTGCTCTGTGACGGAAGAGGGGGACAGGAAGGTAGCAGAGCTGAGCCCTCCCTGAAGGAAGGCCGAATACAAGTCTTGACGCTGGAGCCGTAGATCTCATGCACCATTAATGTGATCTGACGTTACCGTTTTGTTTCGTCAAGCCCGTGGGCAAAAGTGGTGGGTCTTTTTATTTGTTGTGAGTGTATTAATAAAACGAACGTGTAGTAAAATATTCTTTGTGACGAACCAGGTAAAGAAGCAACTGATGTGATGCAAAATACGTCATTGAAACCTCGATTCTCTCCTGTGATTGTCAGAAGAGGTTCTCCTGGTGATGGCTCTGATCATTGATCGGTGAGCACCAATGATCATTTCCGTAGTATCCCACCATTCACAGAAGGGTGTGTACCAAGGTGTATAAAATTCATGAATTGACAAAAAGTGACTTGGATCAGCATTAAAAAAAAAAAATTAAAAGTTCAGTCCTGTGGCAGGTGTAAAATGGGCATGACCGGTGGACCCTCCCGATTCGGGGCGGCCTGGCTGCAGAGAGGAAGTGACCGAGTGAATCCTGAAAATCGTGACCGATGAACCAAAAGTCAATAGGAACAATATAAGTAGAACAAAAATAAAGATACTTCTGAGATTTTCTGTTTGTGGGACAGACTTGTACTTACGGTAAATATTTCGGTTTAACCACAATTTATACTCAACCAAAACCCCAAAGTTACCAGTGGACGAGTCCCCTTTCACTGGCATCAGAAAAATATAAACATTTCTCCATATTTCTTTGTCCTACAGAGCAGAAAAGACTCATTAATTATCACTGAAGTTACAGGAAGCTGTTCAATATTGAAAAGGGGGAGTAAACACCCCATTTCCTATAGCGTTTAAGGAGCTATTGGGGGTACTAGTTTCCAGGATTGCTGTGGAAATGTTCCCACCACAGAGTAAAGAGTCAGACTAGAGAGGCTCCAAAGGCGCTCATGTCCGGTGGTTCTATAATAAATATTAAGCGGTGAAACAATTTAAAATATAACTAAGTTTTCTGTTAGCCAAGTGCAAAAATAAAGCACACAACTCTGTTAAATATAATTTCTTGTAACCCAACAAGGCACCAGCGCTTCACTGTGGGGTTTGCCAGCAAACTGTCATCGTTGCACGGTGTTAAAAAGCCCTTCCACTCTGGCAGAGGAGGTTATCTGTATTTCTGTTCAAATGTGAATATAAAGACATTATTAAAATGTAGCAGCAGATAACATTGTAGGACTCAACAGGGAAAGTCAAGGTCAGGTGATGGAAAAAAGTCAGAAGTGAGAAACCCACTGTAGTTTGAAAAATAATAATAATCACTGTCAAAGCTTTGCCCTTTTTTTCATGTTTTAAAGGGAGTATATCCAAGATTGAGGCAAGCTATAGATTGAGCACAGGCAAGGGACTTCGTGGAGGTTACTATCCATCCCCCCGGGACTGCAGTGGTGGAACCACCTGGAAGGTAGATAGACACAAAGTGAGAAGGGCTGGAAGGTAGATAGACACAAAGTGAGAAGGGCTGACCGCTGGTCAGCCTGGAAGGTAGATAGACACAAAGTGAGAAGGGCTGACCGCTCACAGGAATTTGAGTTAGGCTTAGAAAGGACTAGAAGGATCCTGAAGATTAAGATGGATGTACATCTCAAAAGCATCACCTTACATGTGATTCATGGCGTCCAAATCATAGTCATTTGAGTGGTGGAGAACACAGGATTTTTTGAAACCAGTGAATAGTGGCAGTGGAGAAACCTACAAGGACCTGGCAGCTTATCCAAAATCAGTTGATGAACTAGGAACTCTGAAGCTGTTCATTGAGGACCCAGTAAATAAAGTGGCCAGGAGCCTAGGCAAATGACATTGAGACTCAAACACAAAAAGATCCCCCCCATCTTCACAGACTAAGAGTCCTGAAAAAGATTGGATGAAACCAAAATAATGAGAATTGGGCGTCAAGTAGGAAGGCTTTCATGGCCCTCAAGAAGCACATTCAAATGTAAGAACTAGAGTCATACACAGAATATAATTCTCTTTGAGAGGCCTTCTTAAACTTAACTCTCTTTTCTATGCTACAGTATTTTGCAAGTACCTTTTGCTTGTGGCATTTATCCTGTTATACATACATGCAGTTCTTTTAGTAACTCTAAACCCAACTAGATTATCAGTTCATTGGACGGAGTGGGACATACAAGAATGTGTACATTCATGAATGAATGAGAAAGAGAGGAACAGAGGGAAGAATTTCAGACAAAAGATATGTGAGTATTTTTTTCTGGCCTTTTTCTCTTGGTGAATACTTTTTTTCTGGCCTTTCTCTCTTTTAGTGAATACTTCCAAAATAAGCTATTGAAAGGGATGGTTGGGGGCGGAGAGAATCTTCCAAACTGGTAAAGAACTCCGGTCTGAAAGGAAGGGAAATGAATGTATTTCTGGAAGAAGACACAGTCCGCCCTCTATTGGCCACTGCACAGGTTGGATGGGAGGGATTAATTGTTGAAAATTGAAAATCAAAGTGCCCAGTTGGGGGCCAAGCAGAAAGTGGAATGGAAAGTGCACTGAAGAGAACACTACTGTAAAAGAACACACACTTTCCTCCTGCTGCCGTGTCCGGGCCAGCATCCTTGCTGGAGCCACACTTTCTGGGATGTGCTTGCTATTTGTGTTTTCCTGAAGTGAAAAGAGATAAGTATATGTTGCCTTTTGAATTGGATATACAATATGTATTATTACCGAGTTGCATAAGAGAAAGTGTCTCATTGTGTTATAAAAGTCTTTCATACAAATTAGAAGAAACCAGGACAACAGGTCTGGCTCCTTTCACCCTCTTCCCCCATCTCTCAGGTCCCCATAGCTGGGATTGCCTCTATGCAGGGTCTCACCTAATCTAGGTGAGGGCCATTTCCATGACATAAGCAGACCTCTACTTTAGGTGCTCAGTCATCGGGTCTTGGGCTCTGGAGCTGGTTCTTGGGCTGTGTTATCACTACCTGGCACCTCACATTTACTAACAAGCTTGTTGTCTTACCTCCTCTGCCAGTGTACAGCAGGTGCTATGGAGATAATAGGAAGATATTTGAGGGCTAGCAAGGCCTACACATAGAACACTGGTTCTTTTTAAGTTTCAGTTTAGAGTTCTTCCCATATTGCTACAAATTTAAACAAGACATTTACCCATTCTAAATTCATTTTTCCCCTCTCTAAAGTGCAGACAATAATACCAACCTCACAAGGTATTATACAGACAAAAATGGTTATTCATCCGTTCTATCGCTATTTTCTAAATCGTCTAATTGAGTGTCTCCCTTATGTTTAAGTGGGAATCCCTGTTATCTGATATTTTTGCATCCATTGCTATGTGACATCTATGTATCCAGGTGTTTGCTTTTTTTCCTTACTAGAATCTTCTGTTGGTCCTGGTTTAGCAGTCTGTTTAGGCCAGTCACAAGGTTTAAGACTTTGTGATAGTTTCTTGATCTCATTTCAGTGTCAGATTTATTTTAAAGGACAATTAACAATGATAAGTACCAACTAACATATATATAAAGAACTTACTACTCTCTAGTCAACCTGCTAAGTACTTTGTATGGGTTATTTTTAATCTTCTAAATGATTCTGGAATGCTTCTCTAAATCCAAAGTCTTATAGTATCCCCAGTGTCCTGTGTTGTCTTCATTTTAGAATTGAAGAATCTTAGGCATAGACCACTATGTATGTGGATGTCAGGTTTGGAACTGTCTTCTTTCTGTCTTTAGAGCCTGTGAATTGGGTAATGGTGAGTTGCTTTTTTTTCAGTTTTAGTTTTCTGTGGACTTAATACAAACTTGCTAACATCTATGATAACCTCTTGCCTTATTTGCTAATGTATATATAAAAAGAAGAATGATTAGTATTTTTCTCAAGAAATATGTCGTTTTCCTAATTACAGAATAACAACTACTTATGTAGTGTTTGCTGTATGCATATTTTCTAGTTACCCCAGTATATTATTTCCATTTAATTTATATAATCTGATGATGGAGGTACTATAGTTACCTGCATTTACTGGTTGGGAAGCTTGAGATACAGAAAAGTTAACAAATACACACAATGTCATGAAAGATTTGCTGGGTACAGTGGCTGATGGCTGTAATCCCAGCATTTTGGAGGCTGAAGCAAGAGCATCATCGTGAGTTCAAGACCAACCTCGGCTACATAGTGAGTTCAAGGCCAACCCAGACTGCCTACCAAGACCCTATCTCAAAAATACAAACAAAACAAAATAAAAGGAAAAATTGGAATTCAAACACAGGCAATACAGCTCCAGAATCCATGCTATGCAATAATACCAATGTGATTCTTACAAGTACTGTACATGCTCACTGGGGAGAAATGAGAAAATACAAACAGGAAAAAGAGAGAGAAAGAATAAAGGAAGAGAGAGAAAAAGAAACATTCATAATCCTACCATTGAACTATAACCATTGATAACATTTATTAGACATCTGTGAAGGCTTATCTCCCCCCATAAAATATAAAATATAAACTGAGCTATACCATCCTAGTTCATAATTGCTTTTTCACTTATAAATATACATGGCATATTGATCTTGAGAATCAATAACTGCTCCCTTTTCAGCACTAAATATTATTTCATTGAATAAGTTTGTCCCATATTTATCTGATGCCATATTAATAGACCCTTAAGGCTTTTGTTAGATTTATGTTTTCCCTGTCATAAACAGAGGTTCCGTGCATTTCCATCACATCTTTAAATGTTTTCTTTAGTGAATTCCTAAAATGGAATTATTTGTGGATCAAAAGTTATGCTCATGTTGACAGACAGCACCTTACATTGTAAAATTAAAAATTTTTTTAACCTTGAAAAATTGTTTTTGCATTCATCATTCCATTAGATTCTTAAAATGTTCGACATTTTCGGAGGTTTTAGCTACAAATCATCAAATAATTCAGCTATACACATTACCAAATCAAATAACCTGGCAAATCATCTGCTTCATGGTTTTTAAAGACAAAGTGTTATGTACTCAATTAGAATTTTCTCCTAAGAAGGAATGCTTTTACAAAGGGGAACTAATGAAAATGAATAAATTAGAAGCCTTTCAAAAGGTGAGGATATTTGAAGCAATACGGTCTTGCAGCCATTCTTTTGGATAGCTAGAAAAAAACCAGTGTAAGAGAATTGAGAAGACCCAGCCATGCATTATACTGAGAAGGAATTTCCATTTAACACAATGCTACCCACCTTTCTGTATTCTCTACCCAGTTCCTGCTCTGATTTCAATACCCTGACAATTCATAGATCCAAATTGCAGCCATTCTTCCTGAGATCTGTTTGGCTTATGTTAAGAAACATAATCAGATCTATTTTAACAATGGTATCTATCACTCTTTAAACATTCTGATAATGTCTATTTGTGAAGTCTCTGGTGTAGTCCCGTGAGGAAATAATTCTCATTGTTTGTTGTATCTGACCCAACGTGGTATAAAGTAAGCAGATTATCTTCATTCCCCAGATGCGACTCCAACTTCTTATAATCTCTGTGAGGTTCCTCTTCAAAGGAAGATTTGTCACTGTTGGGAGTATTGAAAGAGCCAAAACACGTTCTAGAGGAAATCAAAAGAAGAGCTTTATTAAAAAAAAAAAAAAAGTAGGCGTTGGTAGTATTCATGCAACAAGTGCACACACACTTTCTCCAAGTGACTGTTGACAAGGAGCCATCATGTATCGAAAGTAAGTCCTGGTCTGATAAAGTTCTTTAGGATACTGATGTTTTGTATTCAGGTCCTACGTATCATACTACTTTGTCATTGAAATCAGAACTCATTGCCTGTGTTCTGGTAGGAAATGGTACTACTCTCCAATATCTGTGTCCCTCCTCTTCATTCTGGAGACAGTCAGTCAACACTTACTGCCTCCTTTTTAAATTAGCCAGAGCCAGGAAATGCAGCTGGAAGTGGAGGGGCATCTTTTACATGCCTGAAATCAAGCACTTTGTTTTATTTTCTTTCTGCTGGTTGACCCAAGATCTTCCACAGAGGACTCTGAAGCACTAGAAAGATACTAGATGGGTGGCTAGGTCCTAGGCCCTGAGTGACTGTGTGATATGGGTCTCCCATATACCGACATGCCTTCACATACACACACCTTATTGGATTTCAGTGGACTCTAATATGAATGAGACATGAGTCTTTACTGTGGTAAGTCATTAAGATTTTTTTTTAACGATAGGCTATCCTAACACGGTATTTTAGCTTAAGCAGAAATAACATTAACTGTTTATTTAGGGCCTGATTTTTGTTACATGTCTTTAGACAAAATGTACTTTCGCCGTGCATTGTTTGCTAACTTTCATTTGTTTGTTAGTTGTGTGATGAATGTGTAATACTTAAGTTACCTTTCCGAGCCTCCTTTGTAACACTGCCATATGATCTCCCCTTTTACCTTTCCCACTAGTATTATTTCTCATTGTGTCAAGACCTATGGATTTATTATGGACTATAAATTAGTACCCCTTTCTGTTTATCAACTTAAAGGCTATTTCAATATTCTTTTTGAGACAGGGTCTCGCTACGTAGTTCAGGCTGGCCTTGAGCTCACTTTGTAGCCCAGGCTGGTCTCGAACTCACAACAATCGTCTTGCCTCAGCCTCCCACGTGCTGGGATTACAGGTGTGTGCCACCATACCCTATTTTAATATTCTGAGGTTGAGTCATTATATACATATTCTCTGTTATTACTTGTTTGAGAGCTTATTGTATCTTAATCATCTTATAGACTGTATTTGTTCTATTTTGCCAGCTTTTAGGAGCTCAAACTAAAATTCATACAACAAATCAAGTTCATTAACCAAAAGCTATCTGCCAGTGTACTCTGACTGTATAAATGACTACTGACCTGAGATTAGCAAGAAAGGAAAAATAAAAAGACTGAGTTCTTGAAGTATGGAACCAAGTAGGAAGAAATGTGGGAAGTAGATTCCAAGACTGTTCTATTACCAACTGATTATAGCCAAAAGACTTGCCATGTTTCCCACTTAGATTTTCCCAGGGAGATGAGCTAACCAGAAACATCAATCACAGGTATTTGAAGAGGACTGTTCAATTTTCCCTTGAGAAATAATTGACTAAATCATGACTGTCCTTGATGGAAAGAACTTGGGAATCAAACTGACCTGGAATCAGATTCTGACTGTGTTCATCATTGTGCAAGTTTGAATAAATTATTTAATATGTCTGAGTTTCATTTTCCTCATCACTTAGAAAATTAGCATCTATAGGACTCTGAGCATATAATAGATGCTCAATAAGTCTTTTATGATGGCACTTTATATGATGGAATTTTAAAGAATGTGATAGAGTGAATAGTTACTATTTGCTACTTTAAAAGCTTGTGTGATGGAATCTAGTCTTTGGTTTTGGAATTTAAGAGTACTTCTGGCCTGTGTGATGATAAAACCCAAGAATGTCACTTTACACTCTGTCTGTACTTAGCAATGTGCCTTCCCTTATGTCACTTTTCCTGTTCATCCCTCTACTTGGGACATTTGATTTCCTATTAAGGATGATAGGTACTTTGAAGCCAGCAGGCTGAATCTTACTTTGTTAATCTCTACTTTGATCACATAAGTGCCACGTTCCTCGTGCTTGAAGGGCTCTGTTTTGGTTTAGATCTTAAACGTTCCCTGAAAGTCTCATGTGTTTAGAGTTGGGCTTTAGTAAGGTGATTGAATCACTGAATGCTGTACTGAACTTTTTTTTTTCTTTTTGTCTTTTTGAGGTAGGGTCTCATTATGCAGTTCAGGCTGGCCTTGAGCTCCCTTTGTAGCTCAGGCTGGCCTTGAACTGCAAGGATCCTCCTGCCTCAGCCTCCCAAGTGCTGGGTTTATAGATGTGTGCCACCACACCCAGCTGTACTAAACTTCATGTGCTATTAGTAGGTGGAGCTCAGTTGGAGGAAGTCACTGGGGATGTGCTTTTAAAGGGCATATCTCTTGGCCTGGCTATTCTGCTCTCTCTGCTTCAGCCACCACAGGTTGAGGAGCTTCCCTTGGCCACTGCCATCCCCTTTGCATGATGCTTCTGCTTTGAAGCCAACTGACCATGGACTGAAACCGCTGAAACTGTGAGTCAAAATAAACTCCCCCTTCAAGTTTTGGGCATCAGCCATTGTGTCCCAGCAATGAAAATCTGACCAATCACACAAGCCCACTGCTTAGTATGGGAATCAACAGTTTCACCATAGCGTAACAGCAATTTGCTAAGTTAAGTCTATGTGAAAAAAATTGAAGAAAGGTTCACAAAAGTTTTTCATGAAAAAGCAGATAGTTGGGTTGGATCTTGAAGGAAAAATATAAATTTACCAGTTTCATGGGGTGGAGGGCAGGAAGAGAAAAAAGATTGTAAGTGATGAAACGATGAAGTTTCTAGAACAGCGTTTTTACATAGCAGGTATTCAGTAAATGTTTTTGAAGGAGAGAAGAGAAGATGTGCTTTTGCAATGGGAGAAAAAACTAACTTTGATATAATGGGTGCTCCTGGGTGAGTCTTAGGACATGAGGATGGCGAGAGGGGACCAGGTAGTGAAGATCCAAATCAATAGCAGAGTTTAGACTTTGTCCTCTGTGGGAGCTTTCAGAGACAAATGAATTCATCAAATTCTTAGTGTGAAAAGATACTGCATTTCACTGATTCTAAGATATACTTGTAAAATATTTTAACAACTCCGAAAGTAAGACGTACCTTACAATTGATGGCGTGTCATAGTTTAATTGACAGTTGTTTTTTTTTTTTCTTTCTCAGCGGTATATAAAATAATGTTGTTGCTTACAAATGGTAGCATCTTCCACAGAGTGAAAAACTGAAATTGTGGTGGAAGAGTAACAGAGGGACAGTGCAGGGAAACAAGGAAACCCATCGGGAGACTGCTCAAATAGCCTAACTGTGAGATAATGAGCTGTGGTGTGAAATCAAATATGCTGCAGCAGAGCTTGAAATTCCAAAATAGATTAGGTGTTGCCAAGTTGAATGGGTTAAATCTTCCTCCTGGTTTTCCATTTTGCTACCTGACTTGCCTTCCTGCACTCTTGGAACCTGAGGAAAAGCTGCTGACTTTTCACTACAATCATATTTTCTCAGATGACTAGCTTAGGTATAAATAGTATTATTTAATTACTGTTAGGCGTAAAGATTTTGTGAGACAAGTACAATGCTTTGTACTCCAAGTGAGACTATCAAGGGCTACTCTACCCAACATGTCTGCTTTTTGCTGTGAAATGTCTTATAAAAATAAAGAAAATGTATACCCCTGGGTGAGGCTTCAGTGGTCTCCAGGTCCAGCACCTCCCTTTACAGAGAAGAAAGATGAAGTCCCGAGGTGCTGATTACTTTATATTTGCTGACTCTTAGCAGCCTCATCCTCGGTGGGTGTGGCTTGGAATCCTCCATGCTGCTCTGTAACAGGAGGTTACCTGTTTATCTCGAGATTAGCTCTATCTCCTGTTCTCTTCCTGAGCACACAGGGCAAAAGATCTGCCTCCACAGCTGCCACAATTTTAGTAATTTTGTTCCCAGTTCCTCTCTTCGTAACTGGCTCATTCTGTAGTGGAAATCTTTCTCCTTTTGCCCTGACACTTTGTTTTCTGTGTGTTAATCTCTGCTGATTTTATGATGGTGTCTAATATTGGGATCTCTTGCTTGGGCATTGGGGCCGACTTTCTTTCCTTCCTTCCTTCTGTCTTTCCTTCCTTCCTTCCTTCCTTCCTTCCTTCCTTCCTTCCTTCCTTCCTTCCTTCCTTCCCTCCCTCTCTCCTTCCTTCCTTCCTTTCTCTT